AGCACCTGGGCATTGGGGCTCCACCGTGAGCATCCTGTGGGCTGAGCCCTGGCATGTCACGCAGAGCTGGTCGGGTCCACGGGCCCGCCATGGTGAGCCTGAAATGGACCGCTCTCACGTGCACCTGAAGCCTGAAGCTCAGGTGGCCCAGGGGTCTCCTGCTCATGGTCCTGGGGCTGAAGGCGGTTCCAGCCCCTCCTTCCTTGGACGGGGACACTGAGGTTGCGAGAGAGGACCTGAACCAGAGCAGGGCCGTGCAGCTGCAGACGTCCGTATCCGTGATCAGCTGTGCTGGTGAAGCTGACCGAGATCTGCCCAGGGGAACGGCTCCCTGCCCGTTATCCACAAGGCATCCTGGAGGGGCCGTGTGTCTCGAGATGCACCTGAAACAGTCATCCACCCGCAAGGGGCATCTCCTTGCCCATCCGTGCAGTGGTTACTGTAACCTCGGATGAGCCAGACCCAAGGAGTCACACTCAGGGCCCCACAAGCGGTCCCAGTAGAACGCTGAGGGCAAGGTTGCCACAGGAGGGCTTCTGGGAGGAGGTGACAAGGGGGCCTGGTTAGGCTGAGCTTGGAAATGGGGCGTGGGCAGACATGCAGAGCCTCCAAGGCCTGTTGCAACTCGGGGTCCTGAGTACCCAGCTGCCACCTGACCTGCCTTTTCGATATGCCTTCTCTCTCCCTCTAATACATACTCTTAAGGCCAGCCAATGCCATCTGACAGGCAGACCCCTAGAAGACTCCCATGCCTGCAGACCCTCACCAGGGCAGAGCTCCTGCAACAGAGAGGGTTAGTGGGGGAGAAAGTATAGAGTCCCGGGAGCTTGTCTCATCCTCTTCATGAGTAATCATTTGACCTTCTACAGGTCATTTGGTTTCCCTGGGCCTCAGCTTCCTCACCTGTAAAATGGGCTCGTGTGTAATGCCTTGGCTCATGATGGTCACGTAAAATCTCATTGAATGTGTGAAGGGAGCTTTTAACCTGGTGGTTCTCAATCCTGGCTGCACCCAGGATCCAGGGACCTCTGAAATCTACCGATGCCTGGTCCCATCCTAGGAGAAACCAATTCTAATGGGTCTTAATAGTACCCCAGGGATGTGATAAGTGGAGACTTTTCGCTCCCTGCTCTTCTGCACTTGGTACAATGGAAAAGCCCTAGAACAATAGGGAGAATGGCCGTAGAACTCTGGAAAGAGGAAGGTGGACTGGCCAGAGACCTGAGGAAAAATGCAGGACCTGTGTCTCCCGCCTGCCATGCAGTGGACAAGGAGACTAAGTAAACTGCCCTCCCCGGCACCCAGCCCAGGGAGACACTCTCCATCTATGGCCAGTGTCTCCCACCCTGACCTCAGGGCACAGAGCAACCAGGAAAGCACCTTTCATCACCAGGGTGTTACCAGCAACACCAGGTGGATGCTGAAGACCAGAAGAGCAGTTTAACAAGCATTCTGAAAACTAACTTCAGAAGCACAGTTCCCAGTAAGCCAGGCCCCACATGTTAAAGCTAAACAGGGAGATGGCCTGCTAACATGGAAGACTTAGCTAGGATCCAGACCTCCTAGCATAAAATTCTCGTGTCTGGGATATAGTAGAAAATCACTCATCACAGCAAGAACCATGAACATAACTATTTGGATGAGAGAAGACAGTCAGCATATTTTTGCTGTTGTTCAATCCCTCAGCCGTGTCCGACTCTGTTACCCCATGGACTGCAGCGCGCCAGGCCTCCCTGTCCTCCACTGTCTCCTGGAGTTTGCTCACTCATGTCCATTGAGTCGATGATGCCATCCAACCATCTCATCCTCTCTCGTCCCCTTCTCCTCCTGCCCTCAATCGTTCCCATCATCAGGGTCTTTTCCAATGAGTCAGCTCTTCGCATCAGGTGGCCAAAGTATTGGAGTTTCAGCATCTGTCCTTCCAATGAATATTCAGGGTTGATTTCCTTTAGGATGGACTGGTTTGATCTCCTTTCTGTCCAAGGGACTCTCAAAAGTCTTCTCCAGCACCACAGTTTGAAGCATATCCTAACACTGAAAAGACATTAGAATTATCTGAGGAGGATTTTTAAGGCAATCATCACAAAAATGCTTCAACCAATAATTACAAATACTCTTGAAACAATTGAAAAAGTAAAATAAAAAAAGTCTCACAGAAGGAATACAGGTTCTAAAACAAAAAGAATTCAATGGAAATGATGGAACTGAAAAATAAAATAAGCAAGATTTAAAAATTCACGGGTGAGTTCCCTAACAGAAGAGAAGGCTATGTCAGAGGAGAGATTCTGAGCTTGAAGATGGAATAAGAGAAGTGATCCAACCTGAACAGCAGAGAGAAAATAGGAAAAAAGACTGAACAGAACCTGTAGGATAACACTTATGTCATTGGAGGCCCAGAGGGAGAAAATGGGTCCAAAAAATATTCACAGAAATATTGCCTGAAAACAAAAAAATTGACAAAAAGACATAAACCTACAGGCTCAAGAAACTGAGTGAACCCCAAGTAGATTAAGCCCAAAGTTATCCACAACCACACTTAAACTTCAAAACCTGAGGACAGAAAAAACAATCTTGAAAGTAGTACAAGAGAAGAGATACTTTTTACTCCCTGCCAGGGACTCCAATGCAAATAACAGCCAACTTCTCCCCAGAAACCATGGAGGCCAGAGCAAGATGGCACATTTTTCAGGTGCAGAGCAGAGAGACATTTGCTGTCAATGTGAATTCTATCTTGGGTGGAAATATCCTTCAGGAATGAATGGCACATGGACACCTTCTCAGACAAAGGAAAACTTCGCAAAGCTTTCGCTGGCAAACATACTTGTCTAAAGGACATACTGCATATGGGAAGCGATTAGAGGGCTCGGAAATTCAGAAAGGAAGAACATCCAAGTAGGTAAAAATATCATATCAAACTGTCTTTCATTTTGATGAGTTTCTTAAGTCATTGTTGATCAAAGTGAAAATCATAGCAGCATCCGATGCAGAAACTCAAGGCAGACAGAAGAAAGAGCTAAGACAGTCATAGTTGATGAGTCAGGAAAACGAGGTGGCCTGATGGAAGTAAGGTCTCTACGCTTCATGCCAGTGTGGGACACTCAGACAGAGCCCGGCAGCCTGAGCCCGGGGGGTTTTAGAAGCTGGTTTTAGAAGACGGCAGTGCTTCCAGGTGGAGAATCACTGGTTTAGAGCAGATAAGAGTAGAGGTGAGGGCATAGCTGATCCCGGGACCCTAAGGGGTGTCAAGCCTCAGTGAGCATCAGAACGCCCTGGAGGGCTTGTAAAACACAGGCGTAGGACCCCCAGCCCCAGAATTCTGCGTCTGTAGGTCTGCGGTGGGGCCAGAGAATCTGCCCTTTCTGACAAGTTGCCTCTGGCGCCGCTCGCCTGAGACCCCGCTTTGAGATGTGCCGCCAGCCACCCTTGGCTGGTCAGGAGTTCCTGGGTCTCCGCTGAGGTCCCCTTAGACCCTCAGCCCCACAGCCTCACATCCCTAAGAGTTCTGGCTCTGTGCGTAAACTGGGGAGCAGGTGTGTCCTGGAGGGACCCCGGGACTGTAAGTCAGGAGGCCTCATCTTGCGGCTCAGGACCGGGTGAGCTTGGCCAGGTTCCTCTGTGGCCCTGGGCCTCCATCCCCCTTTCCGTGAAATGGGAGGAGCTGGGGCCCAGGGCGACGGCAGAAGTGAGAGGCGCCCAGCGGGCCTGGCCCCACCGCCTCACCCCGCTTCGCTTTCTCCAGCTCTGCTGTCTTCTGTTTCACATATCAGTTTTCACACAGGTTTCCTGTGACGAGAAGGCTCCTTGGCTAAAACAAGTGTGAGACCCCTGCCCTTGACATTGTAAAGGTCCCCTCCTGACCCTCATCCAGAACCTCCTCACAGGCCATCTGGGGACATGAAGGTCCCCGAGGCAGGTCTCCAGCTGAAGCCTTTTCCTGCAAATGTGGCCTGTTTGGAAGGCCGTCTCTCCTTTCCCTCCGCCAACCGCCAGGAGAAAGGCACCCAGATTAACAGCACCCTCTGTTCGGAAGCTGGCCTTCCCGGAGTGGGCAGCAGGGCAGGGGGCTGGCAGGCGGTTCTGTGCACAGTGCCTGCCTCACCTCCGGGGGGCTCGGTCCTCTGTCCTTGGGGAGATTCCGGTGGCTCCCAGGAGCGCATGCTGGGAATGGGGATCCCTGGAGTCAGCAGATGTGGCCACTGCTCTTCATGGGCGCACAGACTATGGAAAGACAGATGTTCAGATATCTGGGGGAAGTTCGCACCCCAGGGTGGGTAGGGGTCCCCTGCCCCCCAGGGATCCCAGCTCTGCCCTTTGTTCTCCTTCCGGGGCACATCCCACACTCATCTCTGATCCAGGAACTTCCGCTCTGTTCTCTCTAGACATGGCACTGAAGTGGTTAATGATGGGGTGGGGGGTGGGGGGGCATCTCAATGTCCTGGACCCCCCAGGGGAGCCAGGAAGGTGAGCGATGGAGGGGGATCAGGTGTGGGATTTGCACAGGGAACTCAGAGCCTGTGTCTCAGACTGGCCCCTTGAGAAGTTAGAAATTAGGGTTTTAATGTGAAACCCCCCAGTTGCAGGCAGCTCCAGGGTTTTGAAAGGTAGTCTGCAGGCCCCCTCTGGTGGAGCTGGGCCTCCGCTGATCACCTCTGGCTCAGGGTGGCCCAGTCCTGCCCACACAGGGCCCCTTCCCCCCTCTGCTCCCAGCTCTCCTGGTCAGCCAGGTGAGGGGCTGGCTAGGGGACAGGACACGCGTGCCTGCCAGGCAGGGTCAGGCTCCATGGCATTCCCGGGGTCAAGGGTGGGCTCGGGGACACCGCCCCCTTCCCCTGCCCATCTTCAGTCCGTTCCCGGGGGATCGGGGTCTGGAATGAGGCAGGTGGGATGTTCAGGGCCCTCCCGTGTGACCCAGTCACCCCCCACCCACCGGGGCGTACCCCCTTTCCTGCGCCCGGCCGCGCCTGGCCACCTGGGTGACAGCTGTGCTGTGTCTGTTCCAGGGCTTCCCTATTCCAAGTCTGACCCTGTCTCAGGACATGGCAAGAATGGCTTGGACCACCGGGTAGGTACTCGACACCCCACCCCGCACACCCACCCCCGCATACGGGTACTAACCAGTGCCCAGGGCTGGTGCGGGGCCCACAGGAGGAGGGGCCCTGGGGACCCCGCTCACCCGCCTGCCTGCCTCTGCCTGCTGCCCCACGAGGGCCAGACCACCACCCGACACCCCTCCTCCGTCCGCCCCCAGCCCCCAGGGAGACCCCAGGGTTGGGGGGTGATGGGGCCACTCAGAGGAATCAGACCCTCGTAAGGCCTTCCTGACCCCCTCTCCTGTGACCTGGAGCCTAACGAGGACCAGGAAGGATGGAGGCGCGTCCTGAGCCGTGTGGGCCCAGCATCCACCTCCTCTCCGGGCGTGCCCTTGCCCCCACGGTTAGTACCATGACCGTGCTCGCCTCTGACGGTGCCCTCAGCCCTGTGAGCGCTCCTGGGGTCACACGGGGGCTGGTGTTCTCTGCCCTCCCCTGCTGACAGCTGCTTTGAGCACCCCCTGCCGGCTCCCCGAATGTGGGGTGGTGAGACTATAGCCCAGACGGCCTAGCACCTGGTGTATCTGCCCTCCCCTGCTGACAGCTGCTTTGAGCACCCCCTGCCGGCTCCCCGAATGTGGGGTGGTGAGACTGTAGCCCAGACGGCCTAGCACCTGGCGTGTGCCCAGCCGGGCCCTCTTCCCAGAGCTTGTCTAGGTCCCCAAAGAGGAACCCCGGGCGGGCTGGGCGTGTGGCGCTGGACGTCGCCCACGGCAGACAGGTGGACGCACGCACACACCACACACATACACACAGAACACACAACATACGCAACATACAACACACAGAGAACGCACAACATACAGAACACACAGAGAGAACACACAACATACAGAACACACACAACACACATAAGCTCACATACACATACCACACACACACACACACACACACAGCCCCGGGACACTTGCTGCCCCAGAGGCAGCCTCTTACCGGATGGAGGACACTGTCCACAGACTGAGCACTTCCATCCTCGCAGAGAAGCCCCTCACACTTGTCCCCAACTGTTCCCCGGGGATGGTCCTGTCACCACAGGTGTAATGCAGGGAACAGTGACCCCTTGCACTGACCTTCGACCCAGGGTCCAGCCACGGGTCACGTCCTAGAACAGGGGCCCCATCACGGAAGCTGTGGGCATCCTCAGGCCCTGCTCCTTACCCTTGGCCTCTGTGGGCCCTGCTGCTGCATCTGTCCCGGGCCCGGTGACTCTGTAGGGTTTGCTCAGGTGAACTGCACTCATCCCACTGACCACTCAGGCGAACCACACACATCCCACTGACCACTCAGGTGAACCGTGTGCATCCCACTGACCACTCAGGTGAACCGCGCTCATCCCACTGACTGCTCAGGTGGACCACACACACCCCACTGACCACTCAGGTGGACCACACACACCCCACTGACCACTCAGGTGGACCACACACATCCCACTGACCACTCAGGTGAACCACGTGCATCCTACTGACCGCTCCCCTGTTTATTCAGAATGGGCTGAGCTGAGACAGGCGCGTGGCATGCTTCTCTGAATTTCCTTTAAGGATTTCTCCGCTCCTGTCCTCCGGTCCTGTCCACAGGACCCCTATGGCGCGGGAGAAGGTAGATCCTTAGGTTCAGCCTGAGGGTCCTGAGGTTTGAGGGAACGGGTCATAACACTCCCTGAGTTTCTGCTCTATGACTCAGGGGCCATGAGCGCCAGGGTCACTGGCTGGACCACGTCCATGCCAAAGCGTTCCCCCCACCGCAAGCCGAGTCCAGGGGTTTATCTCAAAATGTGGGAGACAACTAAGTGGATGAGTGTCCGCACCCGCAGGCTTGCATCCTTGGTGGCCGAGCTGTGCGTTGTCTAGGGAGAGTTCCCTCTTGGCTGCCATGCTGGAAGGATGCTGGTCAGTGGCCCCAGCCCCTGCGGGGAAGGCGTGGCCTCCAGATGCTCCGCCCCCAAAGAGCCTGGGAACAGCTGATGGAGACAGTCTAGGGGGGACACCATCTCCAAGCCTCTCCCAGAGCAGATAGCAGACGCTTAAGCTTCACAGAGTTACCAGCTGAGCCCTCCGGGAATGTTTCTTCTGCTGGCCTCAGGGTGGGGAGCAGAGTGTTAGAAAACCTGCGAGCCCTTCTCTACATCTTAGGGAGTTGATAAAGATGGAATTCATCATCCCATGAGGACCTTTAGTTTTTCACATTAGACTAGCTGGGAGGTTGGTGAAAATCCTTGTTGACTTTTCTTTGGGATTCTTTTTTCCCTACTTACGTTCTCTCCTATTTTTTTTCTTCACTCTTTCTAAGACTCTAATGTAACTGTATGCCTGTTTTTTGGCCGGAAGACCGGATAATTGATGGCCAGTCTTTTACAGCTCAGCCATGTCAGATTAAGTTGTTTCTTGGTTTGTTTTTTTACTTTCTGAAAGGATTCTAGGTGACCTAAATTAAAAGCACAGATGCAGGGAGACCAAATCCCAGAGGAGAGGAGAAGAAAGAAAAGGGAGAAAATTATGGCAGAAACACACAAAGGAACACTGTCTGGAAAGACTATCGAAGCTCAGCTGCGAGCTTCCTGATGACCAGGGCGCAGAGGCTGGCGGGACCAGCTGTTTGTCCTCATTGTCACGTGGAAGGAAGTCAGTAAATCAGGAGGCGGAAATGCGCCTGGTTCTTGTTCCAGGATGGATTTGGAGCCAGGACCCTAGGTCCCACAAGGGCTTCCCTTGTGGCTCAGCTAGTAAAGAGTCTGCCTGCAGTGCGGGAGACGTGGGTTCCATCCCTGGGTTGGGAAGATCCGCTGGAGAAGGGAATGGCTACACGCTCCAGTACTCTGGCCTGGAGAATTCGGGTCACAAAGAGTCGGACACGACTGAGCGACTTTCACCTTCACTTTCATCCTAGGTCCCAAAGCTTGTTAAAATGTCCTGGTAACTAGCCAACCACAGAGCCTGACATGTGGTGGATAGTCACACCTCTCTGTAGGATAAATAGGAAAAGAACCACCTGTGAAAGTCCTTCCTGTGGACCAGAGAGCACCAGTTCCAACATGTGCCACCTGGCCTGCTATTAAGAGACTAGAGAATCCCATGGACAGAGGAGCCTAGTGGGCTACAGTCCATGGGGTCCCAAAGAGTTGGACACAACCAAGTGACTAACACTGAACAAGGTAGAAGTTAAGGTTAAAAGTGAACTAGTAGTTTCAGTGATATGAAGAGGGAACAATTCGTTCTTGACGACCCAAGTTATAAATCAATTACAGCACTCATAAACTTAAATGTACCAAGCAACATGGCAATGCCAGAGACCTTGATAAAATGCAAGTATGGAAAGCATTTTGAATAAGACTCTTTTGAAATCAGATAAAAATCTAGTGAAGGAAAAAAGTATAGAGAGCAATTTAATAGTGGAAAGAACAAAATTAAACTAATAGGTGTATGAAAAAATCCATATTTTCTGAATTAGGTTTTCACATGTCCGTAAAACATTAATAGAAATGCTCGTGTATATCAGTATGAAGGAAACCTGAACGAAGTGTAAAAAGGGTCGAATATGACTGAGTGACTGGGTGTGCACACACACACACACACACACACTCACTCACACTCATCCTTACCTCTTTAAGCTATCATTAGGACAAATAACATGACGGTTGTGAAATCTTCTAAGCTCTGGAAGCCTAGTTCCCAAATGAATGATTATTATAAGAGCACGTCTCCGCCCTTTCTTACCTCCACATCACTGGCTCCTAAGTAAAACGGGAGCTTTAGCAAGAAAAGAACAACAGTCAGTGGTGAATGGCCACAGTTTTGTTCTCCCTGTTATCAATCCCAGTATAATTTTTGGAAACTAAAAAGCATCAGTTAAATCTTTTACAGTTCCATGTACTAGCTGTGTGATCTTGGGCAAGTATCTTTACTTCTCTGAGCCTCAGCCATTACACGCTGATAATAATGCCCACCTCCTGAGGCGGCAGGAAGATAAGTGAATGCGTGTGTAGGGCAGCTGGCTCCTAATAACACCAAACAAATGGGAGAGGGTCAAAGAGTTGGTTGCTTTTAGATTCTCTGTTCTCTGCTGAGAACTGCAGAGGGGTCAGTTGGGGGTGTGCCTGTGGATGAGGCCTTTCTTGGATCCCGTCAGGCCGCTTATCTGTCCCGCCAGCCCACGCATGGAGCCAGAGGCCAGGGGCTCCCCTGCACCAAAGAGGTCGTGAATGCCCCCACACACACACTGGGCACTTAGAAGATCAGGAATAGACTGCTCTTCCCCTGCTCTGGACTGATACGATGCCCCCCCTCCACCTGGGGGTTGCCCCCCTCCCTGCTGAGAGTCTCTGCCCTGTCTCCGAGCCTGGCTGACCAGACGATGCAGGTCCTGCTGCCCGGAAGTGGGTTTCCCACAGCCCCAGATGGTGGTGATGGTCCGTGGCCGGGGAGCTTGCTGCCTGCGATGCAGAGCAGTGGGCACTAGGTGGCAGCATTTCTCTTTCATATTCTGAACAGGCCCCGGGAGAAGGCCAAGGTGGGAGGCTGACCCGCCTTGCTTTGTGCAGGGGGTTCCCTATCCAGACAGGTGCAGGGGCGGGGAGGATGTTTGTCAGCGGCCTGAGAAACCGTCTCCAAATATCGCTCTTGCAACTCCCAAGAGGAGTCCTTCACGGGCGACTCGGTGGGTGCGAGGTTGCCCGGCCCCAGGTCCCAGCGCTGGGACTAGGGTGCGGCGTGCCAGGCTCTTACCAAAGGACTCAGTAATCGAGATAAGCAAGATGTTCATACAATGTTTGTGAAAAATCAAAATTAATTATTTAAAAATTGGCGATGGACAAACGATCAGACGCGTAAAGACAGCCGCAGCCCTCCGCTTACGCGCTCACCTGCCTGGCCGCCTCGTCCTGCCCTCTCTGGGCCTCAGTTTCCCTCGCTGAGGATGAAGGACGTTGCACTGGGTGCTTCCGGAGGCCTCGCCCTGCGCCACACTCGCGAGGGCTGTGACCAGCTGCTCACTTGTCACCTCTCGCAGTAAATGAGTGCTGGAAGCCCTGTCCCTGTAACACGACCCAGGGTGAGGCGGTAACGCCCCCCTGAACTTCAGGGCTCCCTCCATGGAAATTTAACCACTATGCCCAGTTTCAGAAGCGCTGGCCAAGAGCCCTGACCTGGGTCAGATGCTGTACCCGATGCCAGACGTGAGCACACGTGAAATGTTTTCCTCCACTGCGGGCAGTTGACTCAAGGCCCAGACAGACTGGCCAGGACAGGGGCTGACCGACCTGCAGGGCCCCGGTGCCGGTGGCGCAGGCGGGGACCCTCCAGAGAGGTTTGCGGGATGACTTTTTCAGGTGGGCAAAGAGAACGAGAGCTCCAGACATCAGGGTTGGCCGCTGAGATGCCACGGACAGGTGAGGGAGGCACCTGAGAGGGGTGACCAAGCTCCCAGGTCCACTGCCCCTCCGAGGGCCAGGCCTTGAGTGCCAGCATGCACAGCCACGCTCATGACACGCGGGGTCTGTGCCAGGGGCTTTACAGACACCGGCCACCCGGGACCCCTGGGGCCCGCTCGTCCAGTGGGACCGGAGGCCCCGTGCTGGAGGCCCAGCCCCAGTGAGACGCCCTTAGGGTCCGGGCCAGCTGTGGGACCGAGGGGCTGGGCGCCCGGGAGCTGCCATCTCAGCGGCTTAGGAGCTGGTGGGACAGGCAGGGGCGGCCTGAAGGCGGCAGGAGGCGCGTGAGCACACCCGCTCTTGGGGAGCTGGCGGCCTTTCCAGAGCCTGGTCTCAGCGGGCACCCCGGGCCGACCCGCCTCCCCTGCCCGGCTGCCAGAACCCTGGAGACAGCCTGGCCCCTGCAACCTGCCCCTGCTGCCCTCTCTCTTTCTCTTCCAGAATGCCAATGTGGGCCCTGGTGGAGCAGACCCGGATGCCGGCTGGGGCACGCGAGGTACAGGAGGCGGGGACCCCGCGGGTCTCTGGCTGGGGCAGGGGCCGCTGACAGGGCTCCACGAGTCTCCTTCCGAAACCACCCTCCCCCCAAGCGCCGCGGGCAGAAGGCTCCAAGCGCCGGGGAGGCGGAAGTCGGGGATGCGTGTGTCCCCGCCTCTTCCGGTCATGGTCGCGCTTCGGTTCGCCTCCATCCTGAGTTACGCGACGTGCTTCCTCTTCTCCCTGGGGTGTCCCCCTCTAACTCAGGTGCTAACTCAGTGCTCCCCCGTCTCCTGCCCTAGGTGCTCCCCTCTGGAGCACGGCCGACCCTGTCCTGACCGACTCCAGGTCACTCAGACGAGAGGTCTGTGTTTGAATGACCAGCCCAGTCCAGGGCGGGGCCCAACCAAACACCGACTGTCAAGTCCACGGCAATAAGGGAGGCGGAGCCGCAGGGAAGCGCCACCTCGGGGCTTCCCAGGCGGCTCCGTGGGTGAAGAATCCACCTGCAACGCAGGAGCCCCAGGAGACGCGAGTTCAGTCCCTGGGACAGGAAGATTCCCCCTGGAGGAGGAAATGGCACCCCGCTCCAGTATTCTGGCCTGGAGAATCCTTTGGCCAGAGGAGCCTGGCGGGCTGCAGTCTGTGGGGGTGGCAAAGAGTCGGAAGGGTAAAGCCCGCCCAGCTCGCTCGCAGTGCAGCCTCCTGGGGCCTCGCACCAGCAGGATGGCCTGCAGGGAGGCCGGCGTTACTGGAGAGACCTGGTCACGTGGCGGGTGTCCGCTGGGAGCCTCTGCCAGCCCTGAACCGCAGGGCCGCGATGCTCACTCATGGTTGTTACCCAAGGGTGATGGAAGCCTGCTCTCGAGGGCTGGTCCACGCTGGATGCTGGAGTCGGGGCGAGGGGAGGGAGTCGCAGCCTGCACCCTCTGAGAGGTCTCCGGGCTCAGAGCTGGCCTGGCCAGCCCCCGCGCACGGCACACGGGAAGTTCAGGGACCAGCCGCTCAGTGCCCGAGCCCCTCACTGGTGTCTCCCGCCCGAGAGGGAGGCTTTGCAGCCAGGACCCAGAGATGCCGCCCTGTGGGGGGATGCGTGCTCACGGAGACCGCCCATCCGTACGATTTTATTTTGTTTTTAACAAGCTGCTTTTAGTCTGGAAGAAACAAAAATCTTTAATAAGCTAGCGTGTGGGGCTGTGTATTTAAAAGGAGGAGCTGAAGGGTGAAGAAAGTAAGACAGTAAGAGGCGGGTAAGCCCAGGGGGTAAACTGAGGCAAGTCTCAGGCTCCCCTACCCCCACCCTGGGGAGACAGCAGTCCAACCAAGAGAGAACACAGCGCTGCCTCGGGCTCCCAGTCTGGCCTCCAGTCTCCAGACCATGCCTCCTGCTCCTGGCTTCCCACGGAGACCCCAGGGCCCCCCCAATCCCGACCCCAGCTCCAAGGATGCTGCGGGGTGGAGGCGCGCGGCCCAGCTGGCCGCAGGGTGGGGTCCGGACAGGATCGCTCCCCCTTTGGGCGGAGCCCGTTCGAGTTCTGAGTCGCCTCTGTGGTCTCTGCTTCTCTTACAGAATACAAGGTAAGGGCCGCCCGCTCCCGCGCTGACCTTGGCCTGCTGCTCCGCACCTGCCCAGGTTAAACGTTCCTTTTGTTGTGCTTTCCCGTGAAATGTGTGTGTCAGATGCTCACGCACGTACGTAGCTCTTCCTTGGCCTCGACTCGGCTCTTGGCCCCCTTCCTCACAGACGCACCCGCTCCCTGGGTGACCCCGGGCTTCCTTCTCCCTGCAGATCTATCCGTATGACGCCCTTATTGTCACAAACCGGATCCGAGTGAAGCTGCCCAAGGATGTGGATCGGACGCGACTGGAGGTGAGGGGGCCGCAGGGGTGGAGGGCCACGTCCGCCGGCATGTCTCTCCGCATCCAGCGTGTTGACGCACGGCCCCGAGGTCCCCATGGTGATGGTGCAGGGCCTGCGATGGGCTCAGAGTCAAGGACTCGAGTTGTTTCCAAGACCCAACACTGGAGAACGTGGTTATGTGCCCAGCAAAGATGGCTTTACCGAGGGGCGCACAGCTGCTACGGTTTGGGGTTGGGAAGCCTTCGTCATGCACTTAACTGGGTAACATTCGCCTCTTCCTTGAGCGCTGGGAAAATAAGCACAGTTCCTGGTTTCTTATCTGATCACCTGCACCCTGACCTTGAATGGTGCTTAACGCCGGGAGCCAGAGTACATTTAAAGGACCCGAAGGACCAGGGCACAGAGGGTGTGTGGGTGACATCTCTTGACCAGGCCCCACCACGAGCCATGGTCCCAGGTGGTCAGCATGCATAAAAACTTTACTTCATCCTCACCATCCTTCCCCCAGGAAACCAATGTCCAACGATGGACCGCACCTCCCGAGCCGTGTTGGGAAGGCTTCACAGGGGTGAGGGGTCTGGGAGCTCCCGAAGGCCCAGGGCCACCTGCCCCGTCTGTGCCCTGGGGCTGGGAGCAGCTGTGGGGTTGGGTGCGGGCTCAGGAGGCTGCCAGGAGTGGGGGGTAACGGCGTGGATGTGGCCCAGGGGCCCCGGCAGTGCCGAGGGCTCAGCAGGGCTGCCAGGTGGAAGCCCATTCCAGTCCAGGCCAGGCTGATCTGAAATGAAGTGCAGCCTCAGGAGGTCCAGACGGACGCTATGGGGCCCTGAACTCCTTTATGACGTTGATATCTGCTGGGTGGGTGGCTGTGCTCACGAGAGCCCCTCACCCAGGGCTCCAGGTAGTCGTGGCAAGGAGGGACGGGGACGCTGGTGTGGCTGCAGCAGTTGGGGGAGGGGGGGACTCAATCTTCTGTTGCGATGATGGAGCCTGACCGAAAGTTGTTCAGTCGCTAAGTCTGACTTAGCAACTCCACGGACTGCAGCACACCAGGCTTCCCTGTCCTGCACCATCTCCAGGAGTTTGCTCAAACTCATGTCCATCGAGTCCATGAGGCCATCCAACCATCTCATCCTCTGTCGTCCCCTTCTCCTCCTGCCCTCGATCTTTCCCGGCATCAGGGTCTTTTCCAGTGAGTAACCAGAAGTGGTTTAAGCTAAAAGGGAACTGCTAGCGTATCTGACCCATGGGGCTTCAGGGGAGGTCTGATCACGCCTCCACACCCAGGTTCTCTCCTGTTTCCTGAGCGCCTCCTCTGTGTGTCAGCCTCACAGATGGACAGACTTTCACCTCCCCTCCCCTAGACTCGAAGTCTGGATGGAAGAGACCCAGTGGGGCTCCCAGAGGGGCTCTGGGACCTGGGACCTAGAGACAGGGGGCGGGTGCTGGGCTCTCAGATAATTACGGTATAAATATGTAATATGGGATAAATACGGCCATTTATGCACTTAACCCTTTCCTAGCAGCTCTTTAGTGATGCAGCTGTTGTTGAGAGTTGAAAACATAAGGACAATATTAACTAACAAGACTGGTTTTTGTGTGTGATTTGAGGTACTAGTTTCCTTCCCTTATTGATAAACAATTAACACAGTACTCTCTCATTCCTCACAACCTGCCTTAGCCAAAATCATACATGGAATGTTTAATTACAAAGAAGCATTTTATTACCAGTGAATAATTGAAAAACATGCCATGAGTTAAAAATACTTCACAAATTATTTGCTCATGATTATGACATTAAGGCTTCCCAGGTGGTTCAGTGGTAAAGAATCCGCCTGCCAAGGGAGGAGATGCAGGAGATTTGGGTTCGATCCCTGGGACAGGAAGATTCCCCACTGGAGGAGGATATGGCAGCCCACTCCAGTATTCTTGCCTGGAAAATTGCATGGACAGAGGAGCCTGGTGGGCTGCAGTCCGTGGGGTCACAAAGAGTCAGACATGACTAAACATGAGCAGAAGGAAGTAACGACTGTGGCCTAGTTCTGTGAACTGTCCAGTGTAGTCTGACGTTGTGCATGCATGCTAAGTCGCTTCAGTTGTATACAACTCTTTGTGACCCTATGGACCTTAGCCAACCAGGCTCCTCCGTCCATGGGATTCTCCAGGCAAGCATACTGGAGTTAGGTTGCCATGCCCTCTTCCAGGGGATCTTCCCAACCCAGGGATCGAACCTGCGTCTCTTATGGACAGAGGAGCCTGGTGGGCTGCAGTCCGTGGGGTCACAAAGAGTCAGACATGACTAAACATGAGCAGAAGGAAGTAACGACTGTGGCCTAGTGCTGTGAACTGTCCAGTGTAGTCTGACGTTGTGCATGCATGCTAAGTCGCTTCAGTTGTGTACAACTCTTTGTGACCCTATGGACCTTAGCCAACCAGGCTCCTCTGTCCATGGGATTCTCCAGGCAAGCATACTGGAGTTAGGTTGCCATGCCCTCTTCCAGGGGATCTTCCCAACCCAGGGATCGAACCTGCGTCTCTTACATCTTCTGCACTAGCAGATGGCTCTTTACCACTAGTGCCACCTGGGAAGCCTGGATGAACAGAGCAGGCCCCAAATCAGGCTCAGGGAGTGTCCGCCATGTGGTCTGGAGGATGGGGTCCAGGGCAGCCGCTGCCTGGGCCTCAGGGTGACCACCCCTGAGTTCTTTGCAGGGGATGCACTCTAGTTCCTGCTGAAGTCGGGCCCTCAGTAACTGTGCTCAGGTCTCACTGCTGTAAAACCGGGCATGTCTGGGCTGGGTGGCTCTGTCAGGCCCTGCCTCCAGGGATCCTGTGGTGATGCACGGTTGTTCCCAAACCGTGAACGTCCTGAGGGCTCCCACTCCCTCTGCAGGGGTGGCAGGGGGGCCGGTGAGCTCAGAGCAGGGTGCCCACAGCTCCTGCTCCTGACCCACCAGTGGCCACAGGGCCACCAGCCCGCTGGGACTTGCTGCTTCCCTCCCAGGGAGTGGGGTGCCCTTTCACCAACTCCCGTATGCCCCTCCTTTATTTTGCTACAATACAGAATGAAGATGCAAAGTAGCAAATGGTTAATACATGTAAACATTTCCCTTTTATTAAAAAAAAAAAAGCCTTGGACATGAAGGTAATGAGTTTCATCACCCCCATTTCCAAGAACACCCCAGAGCGTGTGTTGTTCTCTAGTCATTCTCTTCCTGATCTCAGCCACGCCAGGAGGCAGATTGGAGGTGTTACCACACATGGTATGTCTCACATCATCCAGGGTTAGGAGCTGGGCTCTGAGCCAGGAGGGGCTCCGGGGGTGGGAGGTGGGGTACATCTCAGCAAGAGAGAAAGATACAGCAGTGTTTTCATCTCAGGGGAGAGAGCTTAATTTTTAATATAAAAACAGTTCATAACTCTTGTAAAAGTCCAGAAAAATATGAAGAAGAACGTAAACATTCCATGGAATTCCCCCACAGAGTCATCACTCCTGTTAGCCCCGGGGCAGACCTGTTTCCGGAAATCTTTTTTTTTTTCTTCTCACAGATGCCCAGAGATAACTGAATTCTGTTCTGGATAAGTAGGCTTGTTCTGCTGATGCAGCTTGGCACCTACTTTGTTTCTTTTAAATTTGTTATGGACCTTTTCCACGCCAGTTCATGGGAGCCTGCCCGTCCTTTTAGACAGCTGTGTGCTAGTCCCATGGCCTGGTCTGTTGCCAAAGACTTGGCTTGTGTGCACTGCTGCCAAATCGAATCTCCAAGACAGGGCTTTGGGTCAAGTAGGAAAGAAGAGCTGAACTGCTCTGCCAGGCAAAGGGGAACTGTGTGTCCCAACCTGAGAGGGTTTTGTTGAGTTTTCTAGCAAAGGTTCAGGGGTGGAGTTGCTGATAAGGTGTTTGCAGGGTCTGCACTCATTTAATCTGGTCTCAGGTAATCTCTTGATGAGCTTTTCTGGTTCCTTTCAGCTTAAGGCCTCAAGTGCCCTTCCCTGGAATGAAGAGTGCTGACATCTTCCACTTATTGGGGGTTTTATTAGATTGGGTTAATAAAACTGGGGATTTTATTGAGACTTCCCTGGTGGCTCAGATGGTAAAGCGTCTGTCTACAATGCAGGAGGCCTGGGTTCAAACCCTAGGTCGGGAGGATCTCTTGGATAAGGAAATGGTAACCCACTCCAGTATTCTAGCCTGGAAAATCCCATGGATGGAGGAGTCTGGTAGGCTACAGTACATGGGGTTGCAAAGAGTCAGACACGACTGAGTGACCTCACTTTCACTTATTAGCTTGGTGCAAATGTAACTGCAGTTTCAGACTGTGAATTTCAAATCATTACAACTAGGCTCAGACACATCTTAATTAATCAAAATAGAAACCATTACAATCCACAGATTTTTACCCATTAGAAATAAGTTTGTTTATCCCTGTAGCATAAGAATCAGTGCTTCAGGATTCAATGAACTCCTGGAAAACATATTCTACCTCCTGCTGGTTGTGGAAGCATTTTCCCTGCAAAAAGTTGTCGAGGTGCTTGAAGAAGTGGTAGTTGGTTGGCGAGTGGTCGGCTGAATATGGCAGATGAGGCAAGACTTGTAGCCCAATTTGTTCAGCTTTTGAAGCGCTGGTTGTGTGATGTGTGGTCGGGCGTTGTCGTGGGGAAGAACTGGGCCCTTTCTGTTGACCAATGCTGGCTTCAGGCGTTGTAGTTTTCATGGCATCTCATCGATTTGCTGTGCATACTTCTGAGATGAAATGTTTTCGACGGGATTCAGAAAGCTGCAGCAGATCAGACAGGCAGCAGACCACCAAACAGTGACCGTGACCCTTTTTTGGTGCAAGTTTGGCTTCAGGAGGTGCTTTGGCGCTTTTTCTTGGCCCACCCACTGAGTTGGTCATTGCCAGTTGTGTATAAAATCTACTTTTTGTCACACGTCACAATCCGTCAAGAAACGGCCCGCTGTTGTTGCGTGGAATAAGAGCAGACGACACTGCAGAGGGCCAGTTTCTGTG